TTAGTAGTTTACATGTAAGACAGTTCTCTACTGTATTTTGGTTTTTTGTCTCTGCTGCCGCCTGATGGCATACGTCCAGTGGCAAATGAGGTGGGTGGTTGATCTGTCAGTTGTGGTGTTCGTCACTCTGAGATTCTACTGTCTATATACCTCTCCCAGCACAAATGGGGGCCTGATCCACATTGGGGCCCCCCTTTGGTGCTACTGTAACAAAACTAATCCCTAACTCCAGGTGGATGTGGCTGGATGTGGAGTGGGACAACGCAAAGCTTTCCCGTAGAAGCAGTGCTCTGTGCAACACTGCCTGGTACTTGGCCAGTGTCTCTCACTCTAGCGTGCATCCCCCTAACCACTTAGCAGTCCCAAATCAGCCCAGAGACAACGGTCTTGTCTGTGGTGCAGGTGCTGGGCCTGCAGTCACAGTCCCCTCTATTTTTTTTTCCATGCGTGCGCAGAATAAATTTTGTTATGGGCACCAAGGCATGTGCAGATGTGCACCACCGTAGCCACACATGCTGCCAGCTGTGGGCACTCTACTTGTGATGCCAGGAGGACTGATTCAGCTGGGCAGCACCTGAATCTCTCCTGTGTGGCCACCCAAGCCCATAGCTTGCAGGGAACATTGATTTTTCCCAACCCTCCCTTTACTGTAGCATGCCCCTGCTCCTATTCTGTAAGGGGAGACTGTGACAGAGAGGTGAGGAGGGGACAGTGGGTCCTGTTTTCCTCTCCCCATCTAGATACCACATCTCCCATGCTCTGTGCCAGCGTGGCCTGCATCTGTGGGAGGCAGCTGATACGCATGGGGCTGAGGTGGACAGTGTCCCCACCCCAATGCTTGTGTTTCGAGGCTCTGGGAAGCACAGGTCTCCTCTATACAGGAGATTAAGTGATCAGGGACCAGCGGGTGGTGTACCTGCTTTGGTACAATCCCGCAGTGTAGACAGACGGCTCTCTGGAGAGTGCAGGGTAGGCTGCACTGATGCATTTTCACAGCCACTCAGCCCTAGAGCTAAGCACCAGTTCAGCCAGGCTCCTGTCTGGACACTACTCCCCATAGCAAACCTCCAGCGTGGCCCAGGCCTGTGGCAGTCCGTGGGGTGGCCACAGGAGAGGCCATTCGAATGCCCCAGGTATTGGAACTTAACCCTGAGGATGCTGCACCCAGGGGCTCATGCACAGGCTCTGCCCTTCATCTCTCTCTGGGCATTTGTATTTAGGGGCCAGATGTTGAGAGCTCACCCAGGCCCTCGGGTGAGTATTGACCATGCTGGTGGGTGGCAGCCTGCCCCCGACAGGAACCCAAACTCTCCAGCTCCCCTCATGGCATGTGGGGATGAAAGGGTGACCTAGGGGCTGTGGTAGGGGGCTGCTGGTGAT